GTACTACTTTCGCACGCATTGGCGCTAACGTTGCCTCGTATTAAATGCTACGAAATGACTGATTGCTTATAACGGGAGGCAATGGTAGCGCCACTTACCGTCAAACACCGTGACTAACACTATTGAACCGCACTAGCAGTGAGTGAATGTCACCAATAGGTGGCAATAGTACGCGAATAAACGGTGCGAAAAACCATTGCCTCAAAAACCAGTGATCACTAGATATAGCAGTGATTTCTCGCACTCACTATTAGCTCACGAGTGGTTAAAGTCTTTGAAACCATTGTTTGATTAGTTTTTTGCGATTTTTAATTAACTTTTTATTTTCTCTTCAATTATCACTTCATTTAACTAATGCTGTGGAAAATGTCCAACAGTTTAGTGCTGAAGATAATCGCCTCATCCATAAACATCTCAAAACAGGCCGGAGTTATAGTGCGGGATGTGATGAAGACCGGCGACCTCGCGGTCGTCGATAAGGTATGCAAACCACGTGATTGTGGCCATCGAGTGATCCGCGGATCCACTGATTAGTATCTCTTATCGCGTGGCGTTTCAGGGGATCAACGATTTGCAGACAGAGGCCGATAGGAGGGCCCAGAACTGTATCATCACATCGCTGTCCAAACAGTTTCCGAAGATATCGATTATCGGCGAAGAGGTTTGTGGCCGCGGATTGAGTCGAGCGGTTCCAGTGGTTTCATGACTTATGTATTGCCTTTTGAGTAGACTTTGGATCCGAACGATAAGATCGAGGATCACTGGATGGTCACCACGTATGACGAGTCGGTGTTTAAGCATAAGTGTCCCGAAGAATGGCTTAATGTCACCGACGAAGACATTGTCGTATGTCTTAAGAGTCTATTTGTTGTAAACTTTTAATTCATTGATTCACTCACTCGTGTGGACACAGGTATGGGTCGACCCATTAGACGGCACTTCCGAATACACTCAGGGTTTGTATGATTACTATCACCAGTAATTGATTCACCACTTCGTCAGCCAGTTATTAACTCCGATCCAAACCCACAGGACTCCTCGATCACGTGACTGTACTCATAGGCCTGTCGGTGAAGGGTCGGGCGATCGGTGGTATCATTCATCAGCCATTCTATAACTATGAGGTGTGTTATCAGTAAATCTATACTATACTTCCTCCGGAACTGTTTGACACCGCAATCACTTCCTCTCCACCAGAACGAGACGGATTACTCGAAATTGGGTCGAACCATATGGGGACTGGTAGGGTTGGGCGCGTTCGGGTTTACGCACAAACAGCCCCCGGTGGGCAAAGTGATAGTCACCACCACCCGATCCCATAGCAGTGCCACCATAAACGCCGCCATCGACGCCATCAAACCGGACGAAGTGCTGCGAGTGGGCGGCGCCGGACACAAAGTGCTCCTGGTGATCGAGGGCAAGGCGCACGCCTACGTGTTCCCCTCCCGGGGCTGCAAGAAGTGGGACACCTGCGCGCCGGAGGGTGTGCTCCAGAGTTTGGGCGGCCGGTTGACGGACGTGTTCGGGGCGGACCTACTCTACGATAAGGACGTGAACCACACGAACGAGTTGGGAGTGTTGGCCACTCACGATGCCCTCACCGCTCACCCATTCTTCTTAAGCAAGTTTACCGATGATGTGAAGGCATCCCTTCTGTCGCAACAGCAACGGGTCTAACGTTTGGTCCAAATTATAGCTTAAGAATTGAATTGAATTTTGTTTTTGTTTTGCAATCGATATATAGATTTGATTTCTTAATTGATACGAAATTATTGGCAAATTTGTATTTTAATTATTATTTTTCTCAATGTTTTTATGATAATTGCCGTGAATTTGTTGTTGTGTTTCGTATATTATTTTATGTTTCATTATTTGATTATTTTTAGTACAATTATAATCGTTGAATGATTTTTAAGATGTTTTTATATATTTTGTTAATTGTTTTTTGAAAGTCAATTAAATTAATTGCTTTTGAATATAATATATATAAACATTAATAATGAATTTTTGAGGTATTTATTACTTATTGAACCAATTATTTGGAATATTCTGTGTATTTACGACTGAATTATTATTATTACAGTTAGAGCAATAATTTGTTAAACCATTTAATGTGACATTTATTTTCGCAGTCATTATGAACTGACAATTATATCATTTTAAGTGTCAATCGATGTATACCTTATAATTACTGTATATCTCATATTTAGCAATTTTAAATGACTTTTAGATTATTTATTTTGAATAAAACTTTTTTTTATTTCCAATTCATTTTTCAATTCTCATATAAACCGTACAAAGAATTTACTCAAAAAAATATACATTTTATTCTCAAATTACATACAAAAAAGTGATACAAAAAATAAATTCTTCATAAAAACCACAGTTTATATACCAAACAACGGGTGCCACCGATCACTTGGAACCGTTTCGGGTGATGTGATGGCTGTGAATGATCGGTACAATCCGTTCCCCACTGTCCACCCGTTTTACGCGCTTAGTGGGCGCCTCGATAACCAGTACCCCGTCGGCCGAAATGGTCGCTTCCAGGAGGTCGGCGTCGTACTCGGCGGGCAACACATACCGGCGCGTGAACTGGCGGCTCACGTAGCCCTGCCTGTCCTCCACCTCCTCGTGCTTACCGGTCACCACGATATTTCCGTCCGAGTACTTGATCTCAATCTCGTGGGCCTTGAAGTGCGAGACGTCTAGTTTCGCGCGGAACCGGTGCTTATCCTCCAGAACCTCATTCTTCTGGTTCTCATCACTTCGGCGGCGCTCCAGTTGGTGGCGACGGTTCCGGGAGATGAGGGAGTTGTCGGTGAAGTCCTTCCAGTCGTCCCAGTCGTGGACGAACCGGTCGCGCATCAGTTTGTCCGGCCATACGTCCCAATAGTGGCGGGAATGTAGGGCTGGGGTGTATGATAGAGGCATCGGTGCACCGGGTGTT